GGGTTTAGGGGGTGGGTTAGGGGGGTAGGAATCGTCAATTTTGCGAACGGAGTACCGGAGGTGCCCCAAAATGCCGGTGGCACCGGAGTAGCACCGGATTCCAGTGGCACTGGAACCCCACCCTTTTTTTTTGCAAAGAGTAAAAAATAAAAAGTACTTTTGATTGAGAAGGTCCACAAAAAGTGGTGTGGCCACCAAAAAAGCACTCTAAAATTTGTCTTGATGAAAGATAATCTTTTGAACCACATGTTCACTTCTATGAAAGGAAAGAAAGATTTTTTAGAGGTACAAAAGGGAAAGTAAGAAATTGTTTATTGGAGAGGGAGTACTTCCTTCGTCCCAAAGATCCCTTGCATATTTTAACTTTCATAAAATTTTTTTAAAAAAAGTCTAAGAGTAAAACGTGTGTGGTTAGAATTTATTAAGATAGGAGAAAAATATTGTGAGCCGCATGTTAGTTACTAAAAAAGGAGATAAAGTGGGAAGTGTTTTTTGGGACGTCGAAAAAGGATATGTGGGTAAACATTTTTGGGACGAAAGGAGTATTTAGTAAATAAATTATGGTGAATTATCTAAAATAATACTCCCTCCGTCCAACAATAAAGTTCTCATTCAATATTCACAGGGTCAAACTTTATTCACTTTGTTGTCATATTTTCGTGTCTTATTTGATAAAATAATATAGTCATCTCACCTCTAGTTTTGTAGATGTTTTCATGTAGTTTTTAAATATGTAATTTTTATTTTTTAATTTCATACCATTTTTCATATAAAATGATTTGAAAATAACTTCAGCCAAACTTCGTAACGCGCAACGGGAACTTTATTTATAGACAGAGGGAGTATCTATATAGCTTATAGCATTATGGACATCAACAAAGAAGAAATCATTAAAAGAACTTATTTGATATTTCACTTCCACTCCTAATGGAGTAATAAAAAAGAGAAAAAAATAAATTTAAAAAAAAGTCAAGTAGTTTAAGGGGGAACAAACCTCTGTATCAAGGGCATCAAAGACTTCTTGAGGAATTGGCTTTTGGCAGAATTCATCAGGAATAAAACTGCTAAGGACCCTTTTGACCAATGTGGGAGAGAACGTGGGGCAAACCTTAAAAAGATTTCAAAACTTTGTTAAAGAATACAAAAAGTTGGGCTTTAAGTGTGTGTGAAAGTGACTGAGGCAATTCAGTGATGTCAATAAACCAACTCAACCACAAGTTCAAACTAAGCCTAGCACGTGAACAATATTACTTCTTCCGTCTCATAAACCTTACCAAAAAAGGCATGCCTTCAAAATGTGTAATTTTAATATTATTTTCTAATTTTGGCCTTACTTTATAATAAGGTAGGATACGATGGATATGATGTATATGAGATGAGTCATAATTAGAAAACAATATTTAAATTACCCAGTTTTAAGAGGTGTCTTTGTTCGTCTTTGAAAAGTTTTATGGGACGAAAAGTATTACTTTTTAATTTGGATGCCGGCAAGCCTTGCTCTGACACCATGCCAAGGAAAATGTCAAAGAACCAATTCAACCAAAAGTTTAAGCTTGTGGTTATAGGCTCGGGAAAAATGTATACTCTAATGCGTCCCTACACGTGCATGCGATATTTTATTTATTTATTTATTTATTTATCGCTCGAATCTTGCACTTGAACTTTTTTTAATGAGTAGCGGTGAGGTTCAAACCTTGTGACATCAAAGAACCAACTCAAACAAAGACTCAAACTTGTGATTGTAGGCCGAGAAAGGTTAACCAACTCAGCCATAAACTCAAGTTGAGCTTGTGGTTGAAGACGCAAGAAAGGTTCTTTACACTATAATAGTGGGGACTCACTTCTTTTCGAGTTTGTGGATCAGCAACCATCTCAAATGGAAGCATCATCAGATCACTTAACTCATTCAGGAGTCTGAAGGGCTTGGAGCGCTCATGCTGCTTGCCATCCGAGTTGCAATTGGAACGAGGTTCACTCTCTTCGATCCCAAATAGATTTGAAAGCCATCTCGACCAATTCCCGATCTGCAAGCAAAGGGAAATGCTATTAGATCATTTCATAAAACCACGTAACCGATGAGTCTTTGTGAATATACTCCAAAGTCAACTAAATCTTGTTGGGTGCAATTGACGGGATTGGGGGTGGGTTTGGGCCGGACCGGGTTAGGGGGTTTACCGGGGGATTAGAGGGGTAGGAACCATCAATTTTTTGAACGGAGCACCATAGGGACCCCAAACAGGGCCATGTCATAGGATGACATGGGGGGCTAATGTCATGGGAATGCCCCCCCTTAAGTTACTCATATACCACAGAAAGATAGGAAACATCAATTTAGAAACAGGCACATGCCGAGACTTTATCAATAATAATCATTGAAATATAACAGTATAACACGTTAAAGGAGCTTTACGACTCACGGCATTCTTGAGTTGTGCCCCAGCACTAAAGCTTGATTTTCCTGGAGGGATTGGAAGGACCTTAGCATCACTAATGGGATCAGACACCGGATCCGTTGGCATTTCATCATCTGATTCGCGAAGGACTGCGTTGAACATTGCCACATCCAGTCTTCTCACCAACTGTTCCATTATCTACAAGCAAAAGAGAAGCACGACGAGTTGAAGTCACCCCACATCGGCTAAATATGAATGAATGAATGAACCCCTTAATAAATAAGAGGTAAAACTCACCTCTTGAGAGCTCTTTCGAGATGAGTTAAGTCAAATATTTACTCTTATAATGATATTGTCATGGAACCAACTCAACCAAAAGCTCAACCTTGTGGTTGTGGCCCCAAGAAAGCTTTTTATACTCTAACACGCCCCCTCACGTGTAGGCGAGATTTGTTTTTGCTCGACCCTTGCACCATTTTCTAGGTTCGAACTTGTGACCTCTTGGTCAACAAGGCCCTGATACCATGACAAAAAACCAATTCAACCAAAAGCTCGAGCTTTTGGTTGTGGCCCACGAAAGGTTTTAAATTCCTAACACAAAAACTCAAGCTTTTGGTTGTGGCCCACGAAAGGTTTTTATACTCCTAACAGATATCAAATACTCCCTCCGTCCCGGAGTATTCATCCAGTTTTGACTTTTGGAACTGTTCATCTAAGCACTTTGACTCATCAAATTCTCTCAATGTGTAAGCCTAAATATAGTCATGTGTGATCTTGTTTGATTTGTCTTAACATATAAATTATTAATATATAATTTCTATAATTTTTTAATATACAAATTACAAGATAAAATGGATTAAAGAAGTGTATTGGATGATGTGTAAAAATGAAAGTGGACAAATACTCTGGGACGGAGGGAGTACATACTTTCTGACTATATGACCCGACCCATAGCCATGATGGTGGGGCACCCTATGAAAAACACGGACTATGAAAAGCCCTATGAAAAACACGGAGTAGTGAATGCTGGAAGTGATGAAGGGTGTTGGAGTTATCCCACATTTTGGCTATATATGAGGCAAACCTCACTTTTGAGAGCTCTTTCGGGATGAGTTAGGTCAAATAATTACTCTTAAAACTTTCACCGAATTCAAAAGATAGCCGGTTTAAAAGTTCACTCATATTCTAATGTTATCAACTCACCAATTTTGCAAGCACTGGCAAACAACCGCACTCATTTCCTCCCGCTCGAACCGGGCACAGCCTTTCACAAGCATCCTTGAAAGCCTTCTTCCAGAGCTCTATAGAGAAGTTACCTTGTTCTTGTTCCCCTAAGCCCGGTTTTCTTCCCTTCTTAGAATTAGAGACCATAGGCCTATCACTGGTCGTCGCAATGCTGGTTTGCATGTGTGGAGTCAAAGTCTGCAAATTGTAAAACAAATAAAACATACAGATTACTGAACATGGCTTGTTGAAGTCATTTTTTAGCATATGAATAATGGTATAGCAAGCCATTTTGCATTGTCATCTCCGACCTTCCCTTGTTGCTATAATTTAGCTAAAATATATTGATTTCACTATTATAGTACACTATTTACAATAATTTTAAATTTTATTATTTTATTTTATAAAAATTAAGGCATACTCTGTAAGTATGCAATTTAAACATAATAATTGAAAATAAAATACTATTTTTTATTTTTTTTGTAAATGTAAAAAAATAAAACAATATTTTATTTTTCTTCTTGTGTTGTGGCACTGAACTTGAGAGAACAAATGTGTTGTGGCACATGAAAAAAACTAACCCAATCAACATTTTTCTTCTTTTTGGCCTGCTATATTTTACCAAGCTTGTTATTAGTAGCAAGCCACTTTCATTTTTTAGCATGTTTGTCAAAAATTGGCAAGCCCCTTTGAGCATGAAATTTTGATTGGCTTGTCAAATTGTAACATATAGCAAGTCATTTTAGCATGATTGGAGATGCTCTCACTATGTGTGTTTCTCGTGTTGTGCTCTTAGTTTGTCCGTGCTAATGTGTATACGTTATTTGTATTTATGTGTTTAAGTCAGGGGTCTTTTGGTAATAGCCTCTTTACTTCCAAGTAAGGGGTAAAGTCTACATACACAAATACTCTCCCTATACCCTTCTTTTTGTGGGATTTTACTGGGTTTGTTGTTGTTGTTGATTGCAGAATAAACAATAAAATGGCTTAGAAAAAATGGAATACAAAGCAAAGTGCCAAAACTTAACCTGCCACCACACAGACTCAACTATCCGAGAGAACAGCCAAGATTCAAGTTGTTCAAGTGCAAGGACAAAAGTTGTCACATCTTCCCAGTCATTATGATCTTCTTTTAGACTCTTCTTTGATTCTTTTGCTGAGAAAAGACTGTTTCTTTGGTTCAGAGACCTCCCAGCAGCACCAGATGTGCTTGTGTTGCTATGTGTTTCTACTCTGTCCACAGCACCCTGGCTAACAATTGCTCTCAGCATGACCGAGTTGGACAACCAAAAAGTTAACCTGTACGTGAAGCATTACATAGCTTTAGTTTTACACAGCAGAATTAGTTATCTGAACAAAATGCATTTAGGGCCCCTTTGGTGAGTGCCGGAGATCATAACGTTTTTGTGGATGTTTTGGTGAAGTCTAAACATGGTTCGGATTTGATATCTCCTGATATCAAACCCCTTCCAAATGGGGATGTTTTGATATCTCCCGAATTATTGGGAGATTTCAATCCAGGGTTTTGATATCTCCCTCAACTACCCGCCGGCGACCCACTACCCCCCCCCCCTCAATCCCATCACCCGCCACCACTGTTTGTCACTTACGATCATCATTTCAGATGTCTACAAACATTTTCATTTCAAATTTCCAAACCAATATCATGTCAACCCGCCAAAACCCACCAAACGGGCAGTTTTTTCCTTTTCTTTTGCAAATAGAAATGTACCTCGGAACATCATTTCCACATGCTTTAGACACCAAAACTAAACCTGCAATGGCAGCTTGTGCAGCAATAGCCTGTTTAGCTCGAGACTTCATCTTGCACGCATGAAGATAAAACCTAGAGAGGCGACGAGCTGGAGCATGGATCTTGCTTGAAGAGCTTGTGTGGTCAGCAACAACAGAGTAAAGGCTGACCTCAAGAACTGCAGTTTCCCTCAGTTCTTCCTCGAGCATCTCCACTTTCACCTTCCATTCATTCTTACGGTCGAAAAGCCCATGTGGCGACTTAGCCAAAGCTGTCTTTTCCTTTGTGCTATGGGTCCCACCAGTAAACAAACTCTTGCTGGCCGTGGTATTTGGCTGGAGAGACTTAGAGTGGTTCAGCATTCCATTTGCATGTTCTCTCTTGTTTGTATTTAGACCCTCACTCATCCGGTTAGTTTTGTTTCCTTCATCTTGCGAAGGGTTTGTATCCAATTTCATTTCTGAGAAATGTTGCACTTCATCCAAGAGCTCGACATCCTTTTTAGATTCTAGCTGCTCAAACCATCTTTTGGTGCTTGATGGATTCCCATTTGTACCTCCGGATCTCGTGAATGAAGAAGAAGATTCAGCTATAGGGTTAGCAAACTTTTTTTGAACAGATGTCATGCTTCTCTCAGAAAGCTTAGAGGATGAACTGTGATCATTTATGGGGTTTTTAGCATTCAGGGATGATCTCTCCAAAGCAATCAATCCTGAAATTGTAGCAGGACCGGTATTCTGCCTACCCAACCTTTTATTCATAGGTTCAACGCCGTTCTGCATTACAAAGACAAATATCCCAAGTATTATTCAGTTGTACAATTGCGAGCGCCTAACTTTTTTAAAGCTTAACAACATTAGTTAAGCAAAAACAAGAAGAAATGATAGAAAATCCCAAGTTTTCTTTGTAAAAAAGCATACGAAAAGACTATTATTTGAGTGATCAACTCTCAACTTCTGTGCATGAACTACCACTCAATGCATCAAGAGTCTAATGGAGAAAACCCTTCTCTTGATTCCACATACCCCAACAACAGAGTTGGGATTATACTGGATTTGTTATTGTTGTTGGAGTATGAATTATTAACCCATTAGTGGTATATTTACAACAAATGGGGAAAGGGTCCCTAAAGTTTTCCAAGGTAGAAAAATACCATAGAGTGTTGAGTTGGACCTCTAGAATTTCTCAAAGTAGAAAAAGAGACATTCTGTGATGAGCGCGATGAGGCATCATCATCATCATCATCAGTGAAAGCGGCAATCTCACATCCATCATCATTTTCTTCATTCACCGAGTCCGCAACAGATGCTTGCCCATTCGATAAGCTCTGTTTGGGCGATGAATTCGAGCTATCATTATGAAATGCATGAATGGTAATATATAGGCACGGTTGCTCCGAGCTTCTAGAACTCTTTTTGCAGTTCACTGGGGTGCAGATGCTAACGGCCTTCTCGGCAGCCACAAAATCAGCAAGGTTAATTACACAAGTCCCCAAGAGCTGGCCTCTACTTGCCTTGTCCTTCCGTGGCTCATATAGGTAAAAATCCAAGAAATTCTTCTGGAATCCATCTTGAACCTTTTTATCTCTGGCTAAAGTCACTTGGAGAGTGATTGACTCGTTGAATAGAATGCTGGCGTCTCCAACATCAGATACAAATGACCCAGAGTTCTGCTCGCCATTTTCCCACACAAACAACACGGATTGGACAGATTTGAGAGACTTTGATGGAGGCCAAGGCTTGAGATCCTCTATATAGATGATGAAATCAACCTGAACAGAACTCCCCTTTCTGGTTTTTGACCTCAGTCCAAGAACCATAGCTTAAGATTAACTCCAGACTCCAATGGCGGTTGGTAAGATTGCTTAATCAAACAACCACCTATTAATGGGAAAAAGAAACCTCCACTGACTTTAAAGTCAAGAATTCAAGAAGATCTACCATCACCAAATAGCAAAATTCTTGAAGGATGCTGCAAAAAGCAAAGTTTAATTTCAAGAAAAACAACAAAAAACACGATCTTATTTTTTTTGCCTTGAAAAGTTTCTTCTTTTTTTTCAGAAAGAAAATGTTCATGAAACCATTGAAAATGAAAAATTGCATCTTGGGTATTTAAAAATATGAAACTAAACTAGCCATAGCTCATCTGACATATCAGTGAACAACAAGTAATGGCGTAATGGGTAGCTTTTTTAACAATGTTACACAGGCATTAAAACAGAAAAAAATCAAACAAAAACACAAATATAGAAAGCACCAAACTGGTCGAATCTTTAAACAATGAATGCTGGGTTGATTTTAAACAGCAAAAATATCCCAAAAAAGGAAGAGCTTTAAGGATTGGTTTCATAGCAATTGGCAGGAGAACTTACTTACATAAGATCTGTAGCTGTCAGGGACCAGAAGCGAATGAAAGAGACGAGAGCTTGGGGCTTTCATTAATAAAAGTATGGGGAGTATTTCTGTTACTTAATCGGTTTTTGGGTATGTTTCAACTCTCTAAAGATGGGTATTGATGAAGCAGATGCTTTTCGTGTTGAAATCTAACTCCAGAAAATTGTTGTCAATCCTGTCTTTTTTTACTGTAGAATCACTGGACTTTACATTTTAGGCTGAGTTCGTGCTTCAATTTTTTCCATTTTTTTTTGAATTTTTTCTAATTCTTCTTTATAAAGTAGTCCCAAAATATTTTTTTATATTTTTTTTAGTTTTTCATAAATCTTTTTACATTTACTTTATTCCATATTTTTGAACATCTTGATTCCTATGACATAGAAAACCAATGTCATGGAATGACCCGGGGTGCTCCGTTCGTAAAATTGACGGTTCTTATCCCTCTTAAACTCCCGGTAAACCCCCCACACCCCGTCCCAACCGGAACACACCCCCACCCCCTTCAATTGCACCCCAAGTTAATTTTGACTTTGGAGTCAAATTTTGATTCCAAAGTCAAAATTAACTTGAGGGTGTAATTGAAAGGGATGGAGATTTGTTCGAGTCAGGGCGGAAGGTTTACTGGGGGGTTAGGAGGGTAGGAACCGTTAATTTTACGAATGGAGCACCGGAGCACCCTGGGTCATCCTATTTTGGAAATAGATGTATGATTACCAACAATTATCAATTTTCTCTAAATAATTTTAACCGTACACCTTTTACGTTTGAACAATTTCTTAAACAATTTTCCTAATTCAGAGAAACCAAAATGTCCCCAATTTAGAGGATGGAGGGAGTATTATTCCTACTTCAAATTTTTTGAACCATATCACAAATTCTATTATCACCAAAAACAAGCAAATATTACATTGGACCGATGTACTTCTCAATTTGCTATTAATTAAGCTTATAAGGTTAAACCAAAATTGCTAACATTTTTGTCTGAAGAGATTAAGACGAGACTCAGTTTTGAATTAGGTACAAATATAACTTTATCACAGATTCATATCATTTTTATATCTCCATACTATGAATTAAATTAAAAAAGTCAACGGTCGATATGTAATTGAAAGTATTGTTATTATTATTATTACTATTATTATTATTATCATCATTATTATTACCCCATTTTCGGTGTCAATATAGTCTTGGCAAAATTTTAATATAGGAATGTAATTGCAATTTTGAAAAAACTATGCATCCAACTCATTGTCACCCACAACCTATCGTCAGACTCGACCGTCCACTCTGACATGTCAAACTACTCTTTCATCTGCCGCCACATTGATATCAATGTCGTTGGTTGTGCATGCCACTACACTCCTACCAACCGTTTCCATACAACGTCATATATGTCACATGGTCACCAATGTCTATATTTTTTTTAAAAAAATATAAATTTAAAATTTAAAAAAGTAAATTTGCCTAAAGTGATCTCATTTTTCATTTATTTGCGAAAAACAAGCATTTTCCAAAAATTCCGTTCAGTGGTCGTGAGCTTCTTAATTGCGACCCAAAACTCACACACATGCGGAAAGGTGAGATTATTTCCGGCGACAATGAAAAATGAGATTGTTTTTGAAAAAACGTGAAAATGTGGGATTATTTAAGATGATTTTTTCAAAAAAATAAGATCATTCTTGTCTCGTTTTGGAGAGAAAAACATTTGTTTGAGCAAATTTTTATACTTTGGTTGTTAACGGATGAATTTCGAGGAATGAAAATAATGTTTTAACAGAGTAAAAAATATGGTTAGAATTCTTAGAAAAGCTTTTGGGTCTCTTTTGATGATTGACTATAGGCAGGCCCTCCATATATGTTTTGTTTATAGTAAAAATTCAATTCATCATTTAAGTAGAAATACTATTTACACACAAGAAAATTGGAGTAATATGTCATTCCATAGAATTAGACAGAACCAATCTTTCTAATTACAAGATGGGCAACATTAAAAAAAAGTGGAATGACATGTCATTTCCTCCTTAATTTTTACTTTGTATATTCTTATATTAATGTCTTTTCTAGACTAAAATATTTTTCAAATTTTAAGAATATATCTCTGATGTCCCGTACGATTTTGGAAATAGGTATTATCGCCTCCTCTCTTTTTTGAATTGTGCTTCTGTGATCCTAAGGTCAACATTTCACTTCTCATATTTTAAATGAGCCGAGAATAGATTTTTTCTTTTTCATACAAGGGCCAAATTTTTTATGAAATTAATATACTAATGTCTCCGTAAATAAATGTAGACGGACCACTGAAAAAATTACTTTCTTTTTTCTTTATTTTATCTCTTTTTATTCTTCTCTTTTTAACTAAGTTCTTTTTTAAAATTATCATTTATAGTAACATGTTAAAATTCAAAATTTTGTGTTAGAAAGAAAAAATCAACGAAATAAAAATAATTAACGAACGTATTTGAGATGTGAACAAGTTCAATGGATAGTATTTTAACCAAAAAACAAACCCCGCCGAAAATTACAAAATGTTAGAGCCTGTTTTGAGTTTTGGAGATATGATAAGATATGAGTTATAAAATCAGAGATAAATGATACTCCATCTGCCCCATTTTAAAATCGGCCGTTTTGACTTTGGGGCATATTTAAAGAAGAAAAAAAATAGAGTTGACTTTTCGAAATGGTCATTACTTTTTAAGAGGGAAGACGATGACGATGAATGAAAAGATAAGGTGGAGAAAATTGACTTATTTTAGGAGTAGTTTAGGTATTTTACTCTTAAAAGTTTACTATAACAAGAAACAAGCAACTTGTTTTGGGATGGAGAAAAAAGGAAAACAAACAATTTAAAATGGGACAGAGGGAGTATGAATTTTGAAATCTAAAACGAATTTGTTTGGAGAAATTTAAAATTATGATTTAATTAGTGATAAACGAGAGTGATCGGCAACCGAGGTGGTTGGGGGTGGCAATGATATATAGCCGGTGACGGAGGATAATTAATGGTTGAGAGAGATATCAAATCCTCATATTGATGTTTCCCAAATTCGGGAGATATCGAAACCCTCTATTTGAAAGATTTATAATATCTGGATTCTGGAGGTATCAAATTCGATATTTTTTTTGGCTTCACCAAACACCCAAAAAGAATTCTGATATCTTAAAAAATCAAAACTCATATCTTGTTTGCTCACCAAACACACCCTTAATTAAACTCAAATCCATCAATGCGGGTAGACTGCAAAACGCAGTAATGGAAAATTAACTGAGCAAACAAAGTTCTTTATTTCCAAATTTCAAAGGGAACAACAATTATCAATGAACTGGATGAGTTATAGCCACTCAAACTGTGCTCCAGCAATCTAGTCATTACAGGTAACAGCACAATGCACACCAGAGAATCAAGAATGGAATTAAATCCATAGATTCACTAATGTGTCAGATAGATGTCTATACAATAAGCTCAACAATAAAATACACTTCCCATACAACAGCTCCTTTGCTCGGGGCCTCGTTCTTCTGAAATCTTATTCTGCAGCACAGAGCAAAACACATGTTTTTCTGGGTAAGAATCAGACAATAAGCAACTCATACATTATTAGAATTTGGATGTGCAACCTGGTGTGGAGTGATGGGTTACTACTAATTTCATGAAAGCGAATGAATTTCGAGGATATGTCTTTATTCTCGTAGGCAATAGCGCCATCTGTGGCAGCAATAAACCCAGCTCAAGGAGCATACTTGATTCATTTTCCAAAACCATGCTAGACTAAAGCTTGAGGCTTTTTTGTGACAGATGGTGTAACACTTACCCTTTGTTTGGATGAGAAAATAAAAATAGAAGGAAAGAAAATGATGAGAAAGAAAATGGTAAGAGAAAATAGAAGGAAAATAAAATGGGTTGTTGTGAACGTTTTGCGTAATAAATATAAAATGTAGTAATTTTTGTTCTTCGTTTGTGTCTAGTGTTCATAAGGCATGCACCTCGGGGCACTAGACCTTTGGTTCCACACCCTTGACAACTATGCTTACAATTAAGGAACTATTACTAGTATATTGATTGCATCTTATACCAACACTTGGCCTCCATTTGGATGAATAGAAAACTGAGAGAAAGAAAATGAAAGGAGAGAAAACACAGAAACCAATACATTTTCTCTTCTTTAGTTTGTTCAACGAAGGTACCACTCTTAAACTTTGGTGAGGTACAATTGTTAAAAGTCATGGAATCCTACTTATATTAGTTGATTCAACTAAAACATATATCACATTGAACATGTTTGCAACTCTCTTTTGGCAAATTTCATGAATAGCTTTGTTTGATTGTATGGGATCCTCGTGTTCTCTTTTTTCGGAGGGAAGGGGGGTGGTTAAATAAGACTTTTTGTACACAATAATGAGTATGAGTTACCTAGTGTTTTAGGTAATTTAGTAGATCCAACTAAATCAGCTGCAATTTTAAAAACATGAGCAGTTTCAGACATTTCAATAATTTTAGGTCTTGCCAAACGGGAAAGTATCATTTTTCCCTAATCACTGATGATCTTAGTCACTTTTGGTGTAACTTGTAACCAAATGTGTTCTAATATTTTTCTAAGTTACCAATTACTACCTCCGGCACTGACTATTTGTCCCGTTTTGACTTGATCACAATCCACCTATGACTTATAATTAAATAAAAAATACATGGTATATTAATTAGATAAAAGAATATCTTGAAAATATGTAACAATATAAATCTAATAAAATTATTCTTGTATGAATATCTAACATAAATTTTATATAATTAATGGTCAAAGGTTATCAATTTTGATTGCAAAAAATCAAAAGTGGACAAATACTCGAAGATAGAGTTAGCGATATAATGATGCTAATGGCATGAGATCCTTAAGATTTGGGTGAACGAAGATCACAAGGATAGATTGGGAGAAAAGTAAAGGATAAATAGGTCAGGTTAGTAAATAATGCACACGTGTGTGTATATTTTTAAGAACTAACCTTAATGAAACAGTTGATTAAGAGGCAGCAGCCAGCAGTAGTTCATTATCTGCACGCTCCCTGATCCTTCGTTCAAGCTCCGGCCTGAAGTGCCTGATGAGGCCCTGAACTGGCCAAGCGGCAGCATCACCTA